CGGATCTAGCTTCCTCAATGGAGGGTGTGTGAAGGATAATTGCGGTTGAAGACTTTCTTCTCTAGCATGTTCTTTGTGTGTTGGTGAGATGTGTTCAATGGTGTGTTTCTTGTCTGTCGTTTTCTGTCGTTGGTTGAGTGGTAGGAATTTTGTATAATTTTGCTAACTTTGCGTCCCGTTGACCATCCGCTATATACATGCCTTCATAATACTTTCCGCTTCCTCTCCTTCCTCTTCTCACCCGCTAAGTATGAGTTCTCTCCCACCCTTCGTCCACCACCACTGCTGAAAAACATCAGCTCTTCACCTTTGCACCCATGGTCTCTATCAGTGGCGGAGCTTCATGGGGCCAAAGGGGGCCATTGTCCCCTACTCCAGAAAGACTAGCCCTAAATATTAGGTTTGAATATCAATTATTTCTTAGAGTTCATGCATAATTTATCTTCTTCGTCCCCTTAACTATGATTAGCCCCCCTAAGAATCTTCATCAACCTTGACATTCGTCGCCGGCAACGTCGGGCCGAGAATCTCAGCACCGCATCTTGGAGCCCTGCCTTCGGGCTTGTGCATGCGCTCTCGGAGCGAGCAGCCGGTACTCCTCCTCCGCCAAGGAGCCGTCGGAGCTCCCCCGACGACAAGGAGGAGGGCAACGCGATGGTGCACCTCCCCGTTCGCTGCTGCAGCCAGCACTGCGGTGGGCCGATCGAGTGACGTGGGCGTCGAGCCCAGTATCGACGCGACGGGCGCAGCGCTCCTTGACGAGCAGACTCGGTGAGAGGATGGTACCAGGTCTTCGATCTCCTTGTTCTTTCGGTGGTTTCTGCTTCCGGTTCCCCTATTCGTCGTGGGTAGTTCGTCGTGGAGTAGTAGTTTTCGAGCTCAAAAAACCCCTCTTTCTGTACTAGGTAATTTGGAAGTATTTAGCATGTAGTATGTCTGTTTAGGACGCATCTATGGCACATCTACTCGTAAGTGACATCATAGCTCAGCGGGAAAAAAAGTTGATTGACGCAAACTGTTATTGTTTTGGCTTCTACTGATTAGGCATACTGGTTGTGTTTTGGTTATCCAGTTGCTGCCGTGTAGTGAGAAGCGAAAATCAAAATCTTGCGTTCTGCCGCAACAGAGTAAAAATATATATGTATATCAGGGCTGCTTGTTCCCAGCGGGGTTCCGTCAATGCATTGAGCACTCTTTACTGTTTTTTTTAACATGAGACACAAGCGTTCATATATATGAGTATACATATATCGCCGTAGGCCGAAAATCATAAAATATATTCAGAATAAATGCGAGCATCAGGACTTGAACTCTGATAGACTAAAAATACCACTATCCATCTAACCATCCAACTATATGTTGGCTCGCCACTACTCATGTTTTTGTGGGGAGTGTCTATCTCGCGCGCGCGCGTTGCAGCGCTCGTTTTCGGACAGGCCTAATTTGGAAAGTGCCTTAGTTACACGGATTAATTAGGGGTGGAATAATTAGCAGTGGGCCCCCCTGAAAATCAGGGGGGGCGATTAGTGTTGATTTGGGGTGGGGCCGACTCCCTCGCATGTGTGCGCGCACAAAAGTCTCATGTGGTGGGCCCTGATAGAAAATCTGGTCGGCTGAAGTCTTGCGCTGGATTGGTTTCGCTCGTTGCAGCGGCCGAGCGTGAAGGAGTCTTCTCGGTTTTTGTGATGTATGATTAGAGATAAATCTTACTCCGATTTTAGTTGGAAAAAAAGGAGCAAACGTGGTACGAGCTCTACAACAAGTGTAGAGGGGACCCTTCGGTCCGGTTAGGCTGCGACCCCTCTCCCGACTCCGCCTCGCGCCGCCTCCCCGGGCGGCGGGCGGGGCGGCTCCTCCGCATCCTCTCCTCGCCTCCACCCTTCCGTTCTCCCTCCCCCGCCGCCGCCGGATGGCGCCCCCGGATCTGGCCGGGTGGTTCGGCGGCGGCGGGCCCTCTTTTCTCCCGCGCGCAGCGCCCTTCCCGGGGCAGGGCTCGGCGGCGGGTGCAGCTCGGCGGGAGGTGGTCCGGCGTCTTGGTGGCAGGGGCCGGCGGCCGGCGCGGTGGTGGCGCTGCCTCTTGGCGGGGGGGTGGCCGGGTGGTGCTGGTGGCCGGCGGCGCGGCCCCGGCCCAGATCTGGGCCCTTAGGGGCCCATCTGGGTCCTAGCGGGCCGGCGCCGGCGTGGCCTTGCTGTTTGCGACTCGGTGTGGAGGAGGAGCGGCTCGGATGTGGGCGGCGTCGTCGATGGTGTGCCGGCAACAGCGCGAGGGCGGGAGCTTTACGGGCCCACGAGGGCTCGGCCGGGCCTGTGGGCCTACGGGCCTGGTGTGCTCCTGCTATTGCGTCCGAACGGCTACCGTCGCTGACGGTGGAGGTGGGGCCCTCCCGCGTGCCGACGGTGCTGCTGCCCTAGTCCCGGCTCTGATTCTTCGTCGTGTTGTCCTCACTTCGCGGTGTCGTGGTGAGACGGCGTGGGGGCCTCTTGACCGTGTTGGCGCTGGGTGGTGGTTGGTTTGGTGGCTGGCTCTGGAGCGCCCGAGGTGCGGGTTGGGATCGGGGGAAACCCCTGTCGGCTTGGCCGACACCGGCGCGGTGGCGCCTGTGGGTGCCTCCTGACCTTCCGGGAGGGCGTCGGGGGCTACCCTTCCTCTCGCCTCGTCGTGTACCGGGGGAAACCCTTGGCAGCAGCGTCGTCATCGTCGCGATCCTTCTTGGAGGTGTTGATAGGTGCCGACGCTTCGGAGTCTTGGAGCCTAGTGGAAGATCCCGGTGGGCGCAGCGTTCGGAGGCTTCTTCGTTTTCGTTGATCCGCCGTTGTCGGCATTTGTTTCTTTTACTCTTTCTCTATCGTTTCTTTTGGACGTGACTGTGCTGCTTCCGCCCCAGCATCTATCCTTGTACGGCTTGGTTGGTTGCTTTGTATACAAAGCGGGGGGAAACCCCTTTTCGGTAACAAGTATAGAGACGTGACATCCTGGTTACTTTGTCAACATTCTAGTGTATAAAAAATAAAAATGTAGGAAATGGAACATGACCAAAAACTGATGAAAACACATTTAAATGAGATAAAAAAATGTAACTACTGAGAATGAAAAAACTGAGTTAAGATATGAAAAGATGTTTTGAACTGATACATGAACAATGAACTGGCAGAGTGGACGATAAAATCTTCTGAAAATGTATACCATTCTTTTTATTCCATTGTACAACGAATTGTTTGAATGTACAGTGTGCACGTGCTTCGTTTGTGCACTGGTGCCCTGTATTTTGTTGAACCTAAAGCTTGATGCATGATTGATCGCTCAAGCTCACTTGTGTTCCGTTGTTATTCCACTAAGGCTGATCGACGTAAAACTTCTCTTCACAAAAAGTTGTCAATTGCCATGCAGCTGGAAGATGGCATGAAAAGGCTCGTCTCATTCTCCATTTGAAATGATTTGTGTTAAAGCACAGAAAAAATACATGATGACCATTTTATAAACAATTTCAAAATGTTCATTCGGGTGTTAAAAACAGTTTTTAAAATGTTCATGAATTAGAAAAGCATTTTCAAGATACGAGCCAAAACATTTTATAAAAATACATGGGGAACGGGAACATTTTGTAAAAACGCGATGAAAATTTTGAACATACGCGATGGTTTATTTTAAAATGAAGCAAACATTTTATAAGTCACACAATAGAGAAAAAACCAAAAAGGGAAAAAGTACAAATATACATTAAAAAGATTCGTTACTGCTGGAAATTTGACAGAAAAGCCCTTGAGTAGAATAACAAATGTGAGCACCTAGGAAAAGGAGCAAAAATGGGGTCTGATTTGGATAAAATTAAGTTGTTGCAGAAAAAACTGGGATAAATATTAACTGGATTAAAAGTCGTGTGTTGTTGCTAAACTTGTGAAAGGATGACAAAAGCAAAACAACTCATCAAATAGGGTGAATATTGACCACACAATAAATTTCTCCTACGACTGTAAAAAAACCAGATTTCTCCTACACATTCTTTTGTTACACATAAGTTGAGGCGGTCGAGGTCCGCTCCTCCCACAACGGTTTTGGTTTATCCTCCCTTTGAGGCATTGGCGCTTGCGGTATGGTGGTACGATGCTCTTGCAAAGCGTCTTTTATGCAGTTATGCTCCTTCGGGAACCTAAAAATGGTCATCTCATCCTTTTTTAGGCGTGTCACACCGGATCTAGCTTCCTCAATGAAGGGTGTGTGAAGGATAATTACGGTTGAGGACTTTCTTCTCTAGCATGTTCTTTGTGTATTGGTGAGATGTGCTCAATGGTGTGTTTCTTGTCTGTCATTTTCTGTCGTTGGTTAAGTGGCAGGGCCACGCTCGCGTGGCCTTCCTATTTGTCTTTGCCCAGTTTTTCATAATCAGCTCAACAACTTGTTTTCTTTATATATATGAATGGTTCACATATTGGGTTTTTTCAAAAAAGTTTACCTTGCGCTTGAACGACCCATTTTGTGCTGAAATTAGATTATTTTTTTTACCAATGGTTCACATATTTATCTTCTATACAAAATTCATGCCCAAACTTTGCGTCCATGATCCAAACTTAGCAAAAAGTTACTATTGGTACAGTAGTATAGTTCATCTACATTACACACTGATGTAACCCAAAAAACATCACATTACAGATTACACAGCAGCAGCAACACGACCTGACGATAGTCACAAACCCGAGTCCAAGTTCAACACACACACAAAAGAAAATTCAAGTCCAAGTAGCCGCACCGGCGCCTCTGCTGAACTCAACCAGTCCGCGACCGAGCGCCGCCGCTTCCGTGCCGGAAGCCACGCCCGCGATCTGCCCCAAGTGGTCGGAGTCCTGCGCGCCGTGTAACAGCACGGCCGCCAAATCAGCTCCCGCGCCGTCAAATCAGCTCGCGTAGAACCAGTTCGCCGGAGCTAATGGCGGCGCCGGCGGGCTCCCACCCCGCCTCGCCGCCAGCGATACCCGGGAAGGCTGCGGTGGCAGCGTGCGCCGCCATGGCCGTCTCGTACGTCGCCGTCCTATACGCCCCCACGCTCCTCCTCCGCCTCCCGCCCGCCACCTCGCTCCGCGCCTTCTTCCACCGCCGCTTCGTGTGCGCGGCCGTGTCCTCCGCCGCCTCCGTCCTCGCCACCGCGGCTCTCCTAGGCGTAAGTGCCCCTTTCTCCCCTTCCAGTCCCCATCTAAGCCCTAGTGTTTGATACCCGGAAGGAATCTCAAATCCCCTAATCTATCTTGCTACCTCTCAGGTATGGAACTTGAGCGACTCGTCTATGGCGCTCGCGGTGTTCGGCATTCGTAGCGATCACTTGGTAATGAAGCTGTATCTCGATTACTACCATTTTTTGCTTCTGATTATACTGTATACACTAATAAGTGGTGAGCTTCTAATGCTTGGACTGAAATGCTTTGATGGATCAGCTCGAGGCAGTAGTGATTCCACTTCTCCTTACATCCCTAGTATATGCTGGGTCATTCATCGCAAGACTCTGGGCCATGTCAAGCTCGTGTGGCACGGATGATGATGGGGTGGGAGTCAGCTGCACCGACAAGCTTGCTCGCTGGATGCAAACCTCCTTACAGGATGTAATGGTGTGGCGGAACTACGTAGTGGTTTGTTCTCATTCCCTTTGATACCATTATTTGACACTGCCTATTGGATGATGTGGAAATGTCACATAGTATTACTGTCAGTGAATGTGGGATTATTAACTGAACATCTAATTGTAGGACTACATTATCAGCTAACAAGTTCATGTGTGCAAGTTGTTAACATTAGAATGCAAGCAGAGCCATGAATCAGTGGTTATGGGGATCAGATAAGCAATGCAATTCCATTATATTTCACAAGGAAGGCCAAGTATCGGCACCTAAAATATAATTTGGACCAGTACTTCTGCTGGCCATGACCCCTGCTAGCTCCATTCTCCCTCTGCCACTGTTTGTATTATTGTTACAACTGAAAAGTGAGAACACAGAGTCATTTTCTATTTTCGGCGATGTTATTTGAGGATGATCTTTTGACCAGGCACCGTTTACGGAGGAGCTGGTTTTCAGGGCGTGCATGATACCTCTTCTTCTGTGTGGAGGATTCAAAATGTATAACATTATATTTCTGAGTCCAATCTTCTTCAGCCTAGGTAAATAGGTATAATATATTGCACCAGTTTTCACTTCGAAGGAACCAGCCTGGCACAAATCCTTCAGCTAATTTATGCAATTCGTCCTTTTCTAACTTGCAATTGGTGTATGAGTTTAGAAATGGTGCATGACCACATTCAGTTTTACCTTTATGTTTTGTGTTACTCTCAGTTAGTAACTGGGTCTTTCTGTTCACAGCACACCTAAATCACTTGTTTGAACTTCACCAACAAGGATGCAACTTTATGAGATCTCTCCTGATTGTTGGTATTTTTCTTCGCACCATCTGATTTTCTCCTTTAATGCTGTACAATCTCCGTATAACTTCATTGATAGCATGGGAAATTAAGAAGATCCCATGATTTAAATTTACATGCTAGAGTGTCCTTTATGCCTGCACCTGTGATCTATCGAAGAATGTTTTGGTATATTCCAATGTCCCTTCCAAAGTGCAAGCAGTCGCTTGTATAAGATCCTATCTTTTTCCGTTACATTTTATTTAGTCACACCATGGTCTCAAATGGTCCCTTCTAAACATTTGGAGCATCATGTTATACGTTATATATTTATAGGGCGAGTAACACTGCACATGCCTAATTGTTGTCAAAACAATTAATTGTACTTCAAATATGAATGTGATATCTTTATTCTGTCATGCTATTTAGTGTTTACTTCCTTCGTAGCGTTCATTTATAAGAATCATTTCTTAGCTCACATACTATATGTGTTAGGGAATCGTGATTGCTGGTACAGATTATATTCATTCTGACTTTTTGATAGCTCGTCATATTACACACATTAGTCTTCTGTTTGTCCGTAGTTCTTGCACGTATTTTTTGAAACTTATCATCAGAGATTGCACAATTACTTTGGTTTCACCATTTGCGAACATCTTTTCCTTCCCTTGTTGAACTTACCATGACTTTTTTCTTCCATTCTCAGGTGTCCAATTAGGCTACACTGTAATTTTCGGGTGGTATGCTGCATTTTTGTTCATCCGAACAGGTCCTACTAATTCCCTTTTTGTTTTTGAAAACAGAAAATTGAGGGTTTATTTATTTCAGCTATATCATTGATTCGTCACTATTGCTTATACCTTCCTAGTACTCTTCCAATTAGCTCTTATATTTCTAGCTTTTTTTTAGAGATGTTAGGTTTACTTGCCGTTGGTCCTAGTTCGTGCTGCGGCAAATGCTAGTCAGATTAACTTCTGAAGTATTAGCCTCTATATTCCAAAGTTTGTAGTTCCTAGTCCCAAATTGCTAGCACAAGGTTGGTTTAATCCCTTTTGGTAATGTAAAGTTGGTTCGATCCCAACTTGGGAGGCATGGCTTGAAAGAACGTTGGTTAAACACAAACTTGTGTACTCTTGGTGACTTTTCAGTATTCGTGCCTTAAGATTCGTGGCTGAGCTCTCTGATGTGGCGCTACATGGCAGTTCAAGTGCATTTAATTTTCCTGAACCTTGCTTATCTGTTAATTCATACTGAATGCAATTCAAAATTTCAAATATTTGTATATTGTGCTTAATTTGTATTAACTCTGTCAGTTACTAGTGGGTGTCTGGGTGATCAAATCAGAACAGCGAGTCAAATATTAATGTATTAGGGCTGTTGATTGTAGCAGTTTTTGTAAGCTAGTGGTACTCGAGGAGCAGGAGATGTCCAAGTCCAGGACCTGAATTTTGGCCTCACAACTTCTTCCTCTTTGTTATTCTCTGCTGGGATGCTGCACTGCTCAGGGACGGAGGCAGTAGGGGGCGAGCTGGGGCCATGGCCCAGGCCAACAATGATAAAACAACACTGTTAGAGCTACTAATATGATGTTTTGGCAGCAAAATATTGTATTTTAGCTGTTCTGGCCCTCCCCAACAATGATGCAGCAACAATTGCACCCCTTCATACAACTTTTCTGGCTCCGTCCCTGGCACTGCTAAACATCATCGTCCCTTCTCATCTTCACTGAGGAGTGTGAGTGGAATCTCCAAACCATTGACACAGGTTTCTTGGTAGCGTTATCCACTTGACTGCTTGCTGTGTCCTCTGCATCCATGGTGTTCCAGCACTGCATTGCTTTCATTTCGACATGAACCGTATAGTAAGTTCTTCTTGAGAACTTTCCTCTTCTTACTGCTACTTTCTATTGAAAAACTTACAGTAAGGATGCTGTTGAAAACAAAGCAATGCAATGCTCGTACGTTGAGGATGCAGAAAGTGTTTGCATGGAAAACGCCGCCGCAAACATTGTTGCTGCCCCATGCAGGAGATCTCTGTGGGCTGTGGCAACGGTTTAGAGATTCTGCCCACCTTCCTTATCAATGCATGCATAGAGGGAGGATGATGTTTAGCACTGTAATGCCCAACATAGATTAATAACGAGGAAGAATGGGACGAGACGCAATTTGGGTCCTAGTGTGCACTTAGCATTAACTGACAGAGTTAATATAGATTAAGCCTACAATTCAACTGTTTGAATCACATTCATTTTGCTGTGAGGGGGCATGGTTCAAGAAAAGTAAGGGGGGCTTGTCTGCCTTGTGTCTCAAGTCATGCGGCCATGTGTTTGGCTTGTGAGTAGCCAAACCTCTCTTGTGCCATGTGTTTCAAGTTTTAAGGAATGACAAGTGTGCTAACTTTTATTGCTCTTTCCTGCCTTACTTCGACAATATGGAACTAAACCATGCAAGGTTTGGAATTTAGAAACTGGGTTTCCCACATGGACCAAATTTATAAACACAATTGAAAATATTGTGCTCATTAAACCCATCTGCTGATCCAACATGATAGTCTAATTTTGTGAAGCCATATATTTTGGCAAACTATCAAATAATTACACCCTTTTAGGATTAGTTTTGTAAAACCAGACTTCATCTGTGTCAGCGTTAGAAATTATGCTTTGTAGGTTTTCAAGAGAGTTGAAAAGCGTGACTCGGTAGTTAGTGAGACAAACCTGACGGCACTGTTACGAAGTTGCTCTGGCCCCGTAACGGTCGTGTGGTTGATGATGGCCCCCACAAATGTTTGTTCAGGTGAAATCGTAGAAGGTGTGGTTTGCTACCTACAACAGTGATGCTGATACAAAAGCCGTGTTGTTTGTGATGGCCTTGTTATGAACTAAGAAAAGTTTCTTGAGAACAGGAGTTGTTCTGATAAATTTACTCTTATCTTTCTGCTATGGCACTCACTAAGCTTATGCCCTGTGAACTGGTTAGGGAAAAAATGAAATTTCACTTGTACTAAGTGCCATGCCTTTTCGCTTGGTAACATGCTGCATGGATGAGCTAGTTCATATGTTTTGACTGAAAGTGTACTTTAATTTTGTCTTCACAAACATGACATATTGATCAACTTTTGGCCTAAAAAACTGCAGGGAATCTTGTGTCTCCTATTGTTGCTCACATATTGTGTAACATGATGGGTTTGCCTGCGTTCTCATCACCGCGAACAAGAGGTATGTACATATGATGTTCTTTCTCCGAAGAAAGAAAAGTAAGCTCATGCAAAGTTGTAAAACTTCTCCCCGGTGCTTATCTGTGTTCCAGGAGTGACATCGCTAGCGTTTCTGGCCGGTTCAGTATCCTTCTTTTGTCTTCTTTTCCCTGCTACAAGTCCAAAACTGTACAATGCGAGGTTAGACGGATGCAGTTGCTGGCATGGTTACTGCAGATGGAGTTAGCACAGAACTGAGCGTGGGGAACAATGCTGCATCCGTTCCTGTGGCTGAGCGTGGGCAACTGAGTGCATTTGGATCACCCCACACAATCCCAACTTATACAAGGCCCTGTTCTGGATCGCTTCTGCCATTGTTGTAAAATACATTCTTGTAGCTAGCTTGCTTGCCCTTCTCTTGCAGTTCAGAAATTGTTCGCCAAGGATCAGAAGGCTGTCAATTTTTGTTTTGAAAGACTTGTCCAAAGCCGCATCGTATGGCTCTTCAAACTAATTATGTCAATTTTTTTAGGGAACTAATCATGTCAAATTGGTTTAGCTTTGAAGATTCTGCTTTAAGCCTTGTACCTTTGTGCATCATGCAGTTTTTGTGTTCTTTTTGACAATTATCCCCTCCTTTATTCATTCATCGTAGCATCGCTTGCAACAAGAGGAATAACCACATCCAGGACGGTGTCCATCCAGATATATGGAGGAGAAAATCTAGCTATCCTAGCTAGTTCATGAGAAAATCTAGCTATCCTAGCTAGTTCATGAGAAAATCTAGCCAGTTTTGGTGTTCTATTTGGGTTGCAGTAGACAGAGATTAGAAAACGGAAGAACGGAACAAATTTGTTTACTAACTTTTCACGTTTTAGGGCCTGTTCGCTTCAAAGGATTTGTAGACTTTCCAAAGGAATGTTCATTCCATAGTTTTCAGTTCCTTCACTGGCGTTCGGATCAAGGGAATCAGCTACAGCGTTCCTATGGAAAAGTTCGTAAACAGTGGCCATTTTACAGGAATCTAAACATCTCGTCTGAACCAATTTTTGGGCGGAGGCCCGAGGCAAGCCAACTCGCAAGCCAAATAAAATATTCCTTTCGCATGGGTGGGAGAGAAGCAACACCAGCATGCAGCGATTAGAACACTTGGTGCCTGAATAAAATACTCAATACTGTTGCATCAGTAGTACGGCTCCTTTGCTCATACCTCTGGACAATTTCCTGTGAACCGAACACCCTTTATTCTTCTATTTTGCGAACTGCAGTAATGTACTGTACAGCCAACCGCATTCCTATACTTTTTTACATCCCTTTGTTTTTCTTACCTGTGTATCGAACGGGGCCTTACTATTAAAAAAATCCTGGGTGCATTTGCACCCAGGAGTAGAAAAAGATACTTCCGCACCTACAGACTTTCTATTCATATATCTATCTGAATCTAATAATAAAGGGAGGTGCATTTTTTCGGTTTTTTGGTTTGTTCACTTATTTGCTTAAAGGGCTCTAGCAATTAAAACAGAGCCAAATCAGCATATTTAAATGTTTTTTTATTTATGAAAAATTCAAACTAATTCATATATCCCCCAAACCTTTTATGGCAGTGCCAAATATTGCAATGTAATTAAGTGGCCAAGTTCCATATTTTGCAAAACTCATTTGGTACTAAAAAGAAATGCAAAAGAGAAAAATAATTAGAAAGAAAAGGAGAAAGGCCACTGTGCAATGTGCCTGGCCCAGCCTGCTTCCCCCCGACATCCTCCACCTGTTGAACGCGGCCGAGCGCTCGCGCACGCGCCCATCCCCGCCGAGCCACCTCGTTGCCCGTGCCGCTACAGACGGCCGTGGGGGGATGAGACCGCCAGCACCGACGCCCTGGACACGACCTAGATTCCCCCTCCTCTCGCTCCGCTCCTTCCTCTCCCGCCATGGCTGCCTCGGCCATCGCCGTCGCCAGCTTGCTCGCGTAGCCACCTACCTCCCCACGCCGCGCCATCGTGCCCGTTAGCTCCGACCTGCTCCACCGCGTCGACTGCTGCCACAAGACAAACCTGGGATCCCCTGCATCGCTAGATCGCCACCGTCTTCTTCCTCTGGACCCGCCGGCGTTCGACATTGAATTTGTCGCCTTCTACAGCCACTAAACCCTCCCCGGCAACTGTGTGCCACCCGGTGACCTGCCACTCCTTTCCCCTCCCTTAGCGATGTCCCCCATCGCGCGTAGCCGTAACCGCCGTCGTGCCCGAGCTTGCCGTCGTGGCCATGCCTCGCCGGTGCGACCATAGCCATCCCGACTCCCGTCCGGGCACGACATCGTGCTCCTGGTGCTTGCAGGAGCCCAACAAGCACATGCACACGCCTCCCGTGCTCTCTATGCTCGGATGCGCCGAGGCCCGAGCTCCGGCGTCCACCTAGGTGGTCGCCGCCATCGCTACGCGCCACACCCGGCCGCACCACCGCCACCAATCGACGTGGCGTTGAAAGCCCGTTCGAACGCGCCGTCGCGCACTCCAAATGGTGCCCTGTAGGCAAAATCCGACACCGGCCCGAGCCCCTCCGTCGCGGAAATGGTCGCTGGAGCTTGCTCCGGCACCGCCGCTGACGTGGCTGGCCCTGGGACCCACCCTGAGTGACTGCTAGTGGGTCTCGTGAGCCCCGTTGACCGTGTTGAGCAAGTCAATTTGCTGGCTGGGTAGCCCCGATCACTGACATGTGGACCCTACATGCTAATTAACTTATTTTCTAAAATAATCTTAATCTGTTAACTAATACGACATTGACAAGTGGGTCCTAGTATCTAATTAGCTTAATTAGTTAATTTAATCCACTATTATAATGTTTCAGTCCATGGCAGGTAGGCCCCGCCTGTCAGTTTGACAAAGTCAACAATCAACCTAGTCAACCTGGCCAGGGTGCGATGCATGCTGGCAAATGTGTCATGGAGGTTGTCTACGAAATGGCCGACGTGTTTGGTTTTGACAACCACATCGTCAACGTACGCTTCGACGGTCTTTTCGATGTGTTTCTCCAGGCATGTTTGGATCATACGCCGGTACATGCCGCCAGCGTTCTTTAGTCCAAAAGGCATTGTGTTGAAGCAAAATAGCCCGCAGAATGTAATGAATGCTGTTGCTACCTAGTCGGATTCCTGCATCTTTATTTGATGATAGCCCGAGTAGGCATCCAGGAAGCATAGCGCGTCGTGGCCCGCTGTTGCGTCTACGATTTGGTACGGGGTAAGGGGAAGGGGTACGTCTTTGGGGGCAAGCTTTGTTGAGGTCTTTAAAATCGACCCACAAGTGCCATGACTTATCCTTCTTTGGTACCATAACCAAATTGTCCAGCCAGTCGGGGTTTTTTATAGCTCGGATAAACCCTGCCTCCAATAGTTTAGCCAGTTTCTCGCCCATTGCTTGACGTTTGGGCTTAGAGAAACACCAAAGTGTTTGCTTGATAGGTTTATAGCCTTTTAATATGTTCAAGCTATGCTCTGCGAGCTTACGAGGTATCCCTGGCATATCGGAAGGGTGCCAGGCGAATATGTCCAAGTTTTCCTTAAGGAAAGTATGTAGGGCCTCGCAATCTCTGGGTCGAGGTTTGCCCCTATGTGTGCCGTTTTAGCAAGGTCCGTGGGGTGTACTTGGAATTTGATTATCTCATCAGCCAGTTTGAAAGAAGTGGACTTTGATCTCTTATCGAGGATAATATCGTCCTGGTCGACTTCGACGCGTAGCGTGGTTAGCTCTTCGGCCGCGAAGGCTCCGGCGATAGTTTCTAGGGTGAGAGAAGTCATCTTATTCTCGATTTTGAGTGCCCTGTCGGGGTCAGTAGAGATGGTAATTATCCCTTTAGGGCCTAGCATCTTGAGCTTCATGTAACTGTAATGCGGTACAGTTTGAAATCTGGAAAAAGCATCCCGTCCGAGAAGGGCGTGGTATCCAGTTTTGAAAGGGGCGACATGGAACATAATCTCCTCGGACAAATAATTATCCGGAGTTCCGAAGACTACATCCGGTGTTATCTTCCCGCTACAACGTGCCTCTCCTCTGGGAACTATGCCTTTAAAGGTGGTGGCACTCTATTCTATGCGCGATTTATCGATGTGCATCTTGTCCAGAGTATTAGCATATATCAAATTTAAACTGCTGCATCCGTCCATAAGGACCTTGCGGAGTCAGCAATCCACGATGGGGTCGCGGACCAGCGCGATGGGACACCTATCCGGGGCCGATCTCGGTTGATCATTATGGTCGAAGGTTATCGACGTGTCTATCCAGGCACCACGAGATGGTAGAATTGACTTCTCAAAGGGCCCGTTTGCGCTTGTTGTTGGACGTGAATGTCCCATAGATCATCAGGACCTCGTCTTCACCCGAGGTTTGCTCAAGGCAACATGAGGTACTTGCCAGGAGGGTGGGTCCCCCTTTGACCACCTGCCTCACAACCCAACAGTCGCGAAGGCTGTCAGTTGGGTAGGAATTAATCAGCACGGCGTGGGTCGGGCATGGTTCGTCCAAGAAGCCATTCAAAGTTGTTCGGGGTGCCAGGAGGTTTTCTTCTTCTTCCTAGGTCGGTCGTTCAGGGTGCCCCGTTTGCGAGGTTCACGCCAAGGTGCCGATCGGTCATGTTCTGAGTAATCTCCGCAGATCGAATCCGCGTTTTCCTCGGCCAACCAGGCATCTTCAATGGCGCAGAATCGTGTTACCAGGTTGGTCAATTCCGGAAGTGTTTGAACGTAGCGGCGGGCAAGGGCGTTCGACACGCCTTTATCCTTACACCCACATTGGAGAGCCGCGATTATATCAAAGTCCTAGTAGGCCGATATCATGTCTTTGAGAGATGAGAATCTAGCCCATAAACACCTAATAGGTTCGTCTATAAGCTGTTGTACGTAAGCTAGGTCCCAGACATCAGGTGGGCTGGAGTTATCGGGATGATACTCTCCGGGTGGGAGACGAGTTGATGTGTCCTCTAGGGATTGCGTGTCCGAAACCCTATTATCCCTACCCAATGTTGGACCAGCGGCCATTGGCCTGGGTGAGTTGATTCGAAGATCAACCCTCTGGACCGTTGGTTGGCTGCCATCTGAATCAATTTCCGAAAAGTACATTAGCACATCGTCTTTAGGAGAATCCCCCGCAAGGGCAAAGGAGGGGTTATGCTTTGCCTCCAGTTTACGTGGAGACGTCCTCATGCTCGATGCTTCTGGCGTAAAATCCAACCCTGCGAGCTCGGGACCGTTGACCGGTGATCCCATTGATTATTCTATCGATTGCATATCGGAACTCTTAATGAAAGCACCAGTGTTGGTGTAAAAACCGGCAGACCTCGGGGTAGGGGATCCCGAGCTGTGGATCTCGGATCAATGGTAATAGGGACAAGTAGGGAGATGATGTTTTACCCAGGTTAGGGCCCTCTTGATGGAGGTAAAGCCCTATGTCCTGCTCTTGTTTATATTGATGGAGATGTATCAAATACATAGTTGATCTACCTCAAGATCGTAATGTGTGGTCTAATTCTAAGGTAGATGAATGATATTGCGTTGATCTCCCCTCTATGGGCTACACCATTTGGCTTATATACACGCCAGGGAGGGGATCTAGGGTTACAAGGTCGGTATCTAGGAGCAAGGCGGCAGGAGAGATCTTGGAGTATACGTCAAGTCTTCGGTGGAGGCAGTCTAGATCACGCCTCCTTTACATGGCCCTCGAAATCCGTCTTGATCACGCATGAGGTCCCATCGGCCC